TCAATTTGATTTGTTATAATGTATCCCCCTGCCCCGACCAATGGTCAGCGGCGGCGAGAACTATGGTTTCATCTCTGTTCCGAATGCCCGCCGCCGCCGCCAGCACAGCTTTCCCTTACCGCTCTATAACTCGCACCCCTAATTCGACCTAGCACGTGAACAAACATAGTCGACTCTACACATCTTCGGAGGAAGGGCGCCGAGCCGTAGCAAAACCTGTCACTACAACCCCGCCCCCCCCCATTATTGCACCTTACCTTAAACTTGATCATACTTATCTCTTCCACTTTATAACTCAGACCCGGGTAAGATTGACCTAGCGCCTACCAAACTTAGTATACTTACACATCCTTGTGAGAGGGTAGCTCGCGTACCAAAACCAGGTCACTTCGACCTTTATTTGATCCTTGACATTGACCTTGAGCAATATTTGCCCTTTCAACTCTATAACTGCAGGGGCCCCTAAATTGACTAGGCGCCCTACGCCAACTTCGGTAGTACATTACACATCTTGGCGAGAAGTGTGTGCTCGCCGTTTACCAAAACCACGTCACTGCGGCTTTTAATTTGACTTTGACCTTGCTCATATTTCCCTTGCTGCCCTCTATAACTCCGCCCTATTGACCTATGCGCCAAACCAAACTTGCCGATATACTCACACATCTTGGGGAGAAGCGCGTGGCGGGTGCTGTGTCGCATACCCAAAACCGCCTAGGCGCAGGAACTAATTTAAGCATACTTGCCATCATCTCAGCCAGGGCAGCAGGAATCTTATGTGACTTTATTTAACTTTACCACGCTTCTACGCTCCTTTACAGAGATATTTCATTGGCAGTACTGAGATCACGGCGGGGATCATGTAGTTGGCCGACAAACTTGCCCTTTTCAGTTGTAGGTTATTAGTTGATCTCTGAATTTTTATATCTTTAGTTGGCGTAGGTATCTAGCGTTTGGCTGCGTGTGTCATGATCTATAATGATGCGTTGTTGCACTGCAGCGAAGTGCTTCCTCAACTCTCTAGAGGTGTTTATGACACCGGTGAAGAACGAGTGGTGATGGAGTCAGACGCGAATGACCTTGCGAAGCCCGGCTGCAATCCAAAGTTCACCGTAGAGGTCGCCGCTGCCGACGCAGCAACGGCACGTCCGAGCAGCCGGCGATCCGCCCGGTCGGCCTCCGCCTGACCTACGAAGAAACCCGCCGCTGACCTCGATCAGCGAGAACCAATGCCCGCACGAGGAGTTGCCGAAGCCTAGCGCCGAGCAACCAGTGCGCTCCCCACTGCCGCAGCCAACGCAAATGGCCATGCCAACGGCAATGGGCCAGTGCCAACGGCGTAGACCTATCAGCACGTGGTGAGAGAGAGAGAGTTGCTTGCTGTTGTTTGTCGCGAAAAATTTGCGCCGAGTCGATTTTTCGCGACTGGGAATTTGCTTCGTGTTTCGAAGCGCGTCGTTGTAGTTCTGTCGTCGGCGAAAACGCATAAAAAACCGAGCGAACAGAGGGGATAATTTTGAGCAATTTGCGCTACTTTCGATATATCATCGTTATTTTAGTGGTTATCAAGCTGCTTTTGCTGCACGCGCCAGATCGATAAGGTGCCGATCGGAGCGTGTGTGCTGGTGCGCTAGCAGAATGGATTGGTTTCTCTCTACGTACGCTAGTTAGTTCATGGTGGGTACACACGTGTAGATGCCACAATTGTTGCCTGTGACGTTGTTTCCATATATTGTCATTTGTTGAAATAAATGCAGCAGCATGAAGAAATACTCGTTTATGGAAGGACAGGGCCGACTGCCTGTTGTGCCAGCGTGGTGCTGCTGGATTGACCAACCGTTGTCAAGGTGTGCATGAAGAATTATGCTGAGAATAGTGCTATATCCATAAACGGAAAAAACTAATATCAACGTAGTTTTGTGAATTTCCATTCCAACTGAGGTAGAATTTATATGCCGAACCGTGTTTTTTGCATCGTGCGCGCGCCGTGCCGTGAGTGCTGCGTGCATGCCGTGAGGAGTGTTGGTGAGTGCGTGCGTGTCGTGCGTGGCGTTGCGGGGTTGGATACGAGACGAAGTGGGGTGTGCCGGTTGCTGGATACGAACTGGAGAGTGTGTGCCGTGTGTGTGGCTGCATACGAACGAAGTGTGTGTATGTGGTGTGTGTGTGTGTGTGCGTGCGCTGCGACTGCTGCTGCTGTTGCGGTGCGTGCTGTGCGTGGTGGTGTGTGTGTGTGTGATACGGAACGAAGTTGTGTGTGAGTGCGTGCTGCGTTGCGGTGCTCGTGTGTTGTGCCGGCGGTGCGTGCGTGGTGTGCGTGTGTGTTGCTGATACGGAACGAAGTAGTTGTGTGGTGTAGTGCCGTGTGATACGAACGAAGTGTGCTGTGTGTGTGGTGCGTGCTGTGCGTGTGGTGCTGTGAGACGAACGAAGTGTGGTGCTGGCTGGCGGTGCCGTGCTGTGTGCTGTGCTTGATACGAACGAGGGGGAGTGTGTAGTGCGTGTGCTGAGTATGAACGAGGAGTGTGTGCGGGCTGGGGCGGGGGCGCGGAGTGGGTGGGGGGGTGGTGTCGTGCTGCTGATACGAAACAAAGTGTGCGTGCGCTGCCGTGCGTGCCGTGCGCTACATGCCCGGTGTGCCTGCCTGCCCGCTGTCGTTTGTGCTGCTTGTGGTGTGTGTGACTGAGACGAACGAAGTCCGTGTCCCGCCCCAGCTGCACGTAGCGTGCGTGCGTGCGTTGCGCTGTGTGCTGGTGTGTGTGCTGATACGAACGAAGCTGTCGTCCTGCCGTCGTGCGTGCGTGTTGTGTGTGTGCTGTGGCTGCATACGCAACGAAGCTGTGCGTGCGCTGCGTCGCGTGCCGGCGTGCGTGGCTGCGGCCCCGTGTGGTGTTGGTGTGTGTGTGCTGATACGAACGAAGTGTGTGTGTGCGTGCCGCCGTCGTGCTGTGTGTGTTGGCTGCTGATACGAACCGAAGTTGTAAGCGTGCGTGCAGTGCGTGCGTTGTGCGTTGTGGCTGATAACGAACGAAGTGGTGTCGTGCGTGCCGTGCGTGCGTGCGTGCGTGTGTGTGTGTGTGTGCTGATACAACGACATGTGTGCGTGCGTGCGTGCGTGTGTGTGCTTGTGGGGATGTGTGCTGCATACGAAACGAAGTGTGTGTGTGTGTGTGTGATGCGTGCTGGGTGTGTGTGTTGGTGTGTAGTGGTGTTGCTTGTGTGTGTGTGTGGTGTGCTGTGGTGGTGTGGTGTGTGTTGTGGTGTGTGTGTTGTGTGCTGTGATGTGTGTGTGTGGTGTTGCTGTGTGTGTGTGTGTGTGTGTGTGTGTAGTGTGTGTGTGGATGCTGTGTGTGTGTGTGGTGTGGTTTCTGTTCTGATACGAACGAAGTGTGTGTGTGTGTGTGTGTGCTGTGTGTGTGTGTGTGTTGTGTGTGTTGCTGTTGTTGTGTGTCTGTGGGAGTTTTAAACAGAATTCATTACAAGAAATTTATTTAATGGTAAAAAAACACATCAACAGGTGGCGCCACTTGCCTGTGAAGCCTCCGACGGCATACAGCTTGTCGTTGACGACGGCGACTCCGACGTTGGCGCGCGGCATGTTGAGACGCGCACCGAGCGACCACGCCTGCGTTTCTGGATCGTAGATGTCAACGCTGTCGAGGGAATGTGTGCCGTCGCTGCCGCCCACCGCAAACAAACGACCTGCAAGCATAAACACATTGTAACAATCCGCATCAAACGTGCGAGCAAACTCGTGTGTAAGGATCAAAGGACACACAAAAAGTATCCTTTATAGACCAGGCTTGAACCGGGGTTGGCTGTATATTTAATTTCAACCACTAGGCGCCACAAGGAATGGGATACGATGCATTGAACACATTTGATTAACAAACACATCAACACAGTGATTTTATCCAGTAATTGCTAGATTTGTACCTTAACCCCAGGAAATTCCCACGCATAATAAAATTGCATCATCAAAAATTGATTATTTAATTATTTTTGTATTAATTAAATTTTCATTAATTTTTTTAATCAACAAGACATTTTCACCACACTGACAGCGTGTGCTGCCGTGCCGCATAGCAAATGAAACTGCTGTCCAGCAGATGGCACCACCAAACAGTACCTTGGTATTCGACGACACCGGCACCGCGGCGCGGGTGGTTCATGGGCGTGATGCGCTTCCACACAGCAGCCTCCGGGTCGTATAACTGCAACAACACATGATCAGCTATCATATACACATATATATATATATATATATATATATACTATACTATACTATATTAACGACAATAACAAATAACTACTACTAACTCACACTCATATATTACTATACTATATTAACGAGAATAACGACTAACTACTACTAACTCACACTAATATATAACTATACTATATTAACGACAATAACGACTAACTACTACTAACTCATACACATATATAACTATACTATATTAACGACAATAACGACTAACTACTACTAACTCACACTCATATATAACTATACTATATTAACAACAATAACAACTAACTACTACTAACTCACACTCATATATAACTATACTATATT